GCATTTAATTAAGCAAGTAAAATATTGTGACATTGAAGGCTTGATTGAAGGAGATAGGAAATGTGAATATGCCAGGGCAGAATGGGAGATACCATAACGTTTAATCAAACGATCGGCTTCATTTGTCTCTTTGATGAGTTTTAATATAGTTCCACGAATGGTAAAACTCACTGACGATGCCGGCGAAACGTCTGGGAATGTGTACGTCCACGGTCCGACTTTGGAAATAATTATGCATACAATGGACTCAGGATAAGGTGCGTTTCTATAAGTCTTCCTACCATTATGACCAAGTTGCGAAAACAAGGTCAAACAACTTCTAGTCAATTATGTTGACTTCTAAGGATTCAGCTTTATCTAAATGGTTCACGCCTTGGTAGACTTTCTCATCAACCCCTTCGATGCTTCTACTTTTCATGCTATTATTGTTAATATGCACACGCGATCGCTATTTTCCTTGCATCGCCCAGGTTACATGCTCAGGCCGGCCAGTTGGTGACTTCGGTGCCTGGGAGAAAGAATTGTTAAGGCCTGGTGACTCGAGACACCGGTATGGTGGCGACAGTTGGTCCTTGGTTGAGCTGGCCTCTCGTGAAGTCGTCGCGAGTGTCGAGACAGAGACTGCTCGTCTCCGACGTCAGTTCTCTAGACAACGCAGATTCAATCTTACAAAGAATCAGCCGATTTCACTGCCTCACCTTCAAGGCGAAATCTCTAGCTCTAAGGTTGAAGCTAGCACTCCAGATTGTATAGCCAATGAACTAGGTATATGGCGTATCAACTCTGCTGTGGCGAAAGATGCCTACTATCGAGAAAGGGCGGCCCGATACGCTAGATGGATTGAGAGTCGATTCGCAAAACAGGTTGAATATCAATTGACTGAGCTGGCTCGAGCTGGTGCAGTGCAAAAGGCAGCTTCTGCTTCTTCACGTAAGTAGCATCCTTTGAGCTCTACCTCTGTGAATCTATTTTCTGGTGTTGTGATTGGCTTTTGCCAGCCTCTGCTTTTACTTGAACTTCACTTAGATAAATATGGGTCATTTTGCTGGCTTTATATGCGGAGCACTCCTTGGGGTGGTGATGATTGATGAGGAGTAACGATCTAGTAAGTCGGGGTAACCAAGTTTCCTTACCATATCTGTTTTCAATTAAGCCTTGACCGAAGAGATGCAGAAGCTTAAATATTTTAATCGAAGGTATGAAGACCAAGATGGTGTGGCCTTTTGTGTGGTCGCAGTCTCTTTTTTTTAAATAGAAGTTGATTGACCTTGTTTTCGCAACTTGGTCACACTGGTAGGAAGACTTAGAGCAACGCACGTAGTCCGGAGTCCATTGTATGCATCATCATTTTCAGAGTATGACCGTGGACGTGCTACATTCCCAGACGTTTCGCCGGCATCGTCAGTGAGTCTCGCCATTCGTAGCACCATATTACAACTC